ATTATGTATAGTTATTAAGCATCATATTATTATAGGTATTTTTAGAAAGAAAATATAAAAAATTATATTGAAAAGTTTAATTACATTTCACAATATTTCTAATTAAAAAAATGTGAGATCTGCACTCGAATATCCTTTGCCTATTCAGATTGCAATTATAACTTGCTAATAAAATAACCATCAATACGTTTAAAACTTTTTAAATAAAAATAAAACAAAATAAAACATACTTGACTTACTTGCTTACCTTAATGAATTTATTAGATAAATATTTCAACATCAAAAGTTCCGATTAATTAAATTAAAAAAGTTTATCTTTAAAAAATAATCAAACGACAAGAAGAAGTTGCAAGAAACAAATAAATGTAACAAGAATTTGATTTCACGAAGATTAGACAGAGATACAAATATTAATCGACTAGATATATTATACAAGACTACTGCAATGGATACCGCCAAATTATGTTACATTGATCCGTAAAAGTGAGCATCACATTGAATCATAGGCTATTTCTAACGAATAGCATTAGCGCCATCTAGACATTAGTTTGCAAGACGACAAGGATGTTTTAATTCGAACCCCATCCCATGCCTGTCCTCCCTCATTATTCACCCATATATTTCACAAGATTAGGATTCATCAAAACTCTCCTAACTAGCCGATCTATCGTGATTTCGTGGTTTTTGTGAGCCCTTCATCTCGTTGAGCAACGACTGCCTATCGATTTCTCGAAAAGGGAATAAAGTAGAGAAAGAGAGAAAGAAAGAGAGAGAAAGAGAGCAAAAAAAGAAAAAGAAAATGGCAACAACAGGCCACCATTTTCCTCCATTCGATCGGCTAAATGCACATAATCCGATTATAATATTCCCATCGTATTGAATAGGTGGCTAAATTAGAAATATCGTGGATAAATTCCACGAAACTTCCACGAGAACGTCTATTAATAATATTGGTTTATTAAGATGTATGGTATCCATTATTGTGTAATATCTTTTGAAACCGAAGCTTGGCTTCGAAACAAACAATGATAAGAACGTATTTATCAATGTATCTTCTTCAATTATTTTGAAAAAAATTATTCGAAAAAGAGAAATTAGGAAGAAGGTATGTTTTCAAACGTGATTGCAATTGATGACTATCGTTGGTGTTGTGAGTAATCGCGTTGAAATCGGAGCGAGGAATTCGAAGATTATACCGGTTGAACAGAAGAGGAAAACGGAAGGAACGATTAACTTCCCCAGAGTCTGAGATTGTTCTCCATCCACCAAGGGACCTACGTCGAAGTCGAGAAAACTCTGGTTAATTGGCGCCAGAGGGGAAAAATTGATTTCCAGAAGTCTCGAACGACCGGCCAGTAGAAAATAACTTTGAAATCATGGTGGCCCGAACCATTCCTGTGATTTGTATCGTATTGGCCTGGAAACACGATTAACAATCATTTCGAGAATCATTCGAAACGTAAACAAAAGCTAAAGAATTAAAAAAAAATTAGATTTGCATAAAATCGAACCGCTGAATGAAATCTAAACATAATTCTGCTTTCAAATATCATAATATACATTGTACTTTGAAGTATAAAAAATCTTGAAATTAATTAATAAAATTAATTTTATTATAATCAAATCTCACATATTTAAAATGAAACACATCAAAAAAGGATCGGTTCACTTTTCTAATTAATTAATCTTTCACGTTGCAATAATAATAATAATTCATCATGAAACATGTGACGTATAATATTGTAAAAGAGAGGGAGAGAAAAAGCGAAAGTCGTTGGCAATTCAGTTTCAGTCGAAAGTCGTGGGAACCGTTTTGATAGAATAGGAGAATGGATGTAGGGAGGCAGAGAAGGAAACGAAGAGAGAATCTTGGTGGAAGGATCGAAAAGGGAAAAGAAAAAGGAAGGAAGGTAAAGCCGAGCAAAATTCGAACGATGGGATGAGATCGTTGGTCCTGATTTCCAAGCAATAATTCGAGATTCAACGATCAAAGTTTGCACCCCGAAATAACACAAATTTCAATCCTCACTTTCGAACGAAGAAACTGATCGATCCCATATCTATCTATTAATAATTGTTTCTTGGAAACAGATTAAATGATCAAAAATAAACCAATAAAAAAAAAATGATCAAAGAATCACACAAGAAACTTTTCTTTCTTAATCGAAGAATTATTAAGAATAATAATTTATTTTTATTTTTACAAGAAACAGTTACGGTTATTTTTCACTTTCGATGAAAATTTTAATTCGTCTTTTCGAATCTAATTCTTCAATCAATATTATTCTTCATGATACATATTATGTAGTCATTTTCATTATGTTTTATCAATAGGAGCAGTATTTGCAATTATTTCAAGTTTTATTCATTGATATCCATTAATTACAGGATCATTAATAAATGTTAAATGATTAAAAATTCGTTATAATATTTATTGGAGTAAATTTAACATTTTTTAGGATTAATATCTATACCTTATTCAGATTATCCAGATACATACTATTGTTGAAATTCGATTTCATCAATTGGTTCAATAATTTCATTAAATAGAATAATTTAAAAAATTTTTATTATTTTAAAAAGATTAATTTCAAAACGAATAATATTATTTAAATTTAGTCAATCTTCACTTGAATGATTAAATTTATATCCACCATTAGATCATTCTCACATTGAAATTTTACAGAGGAGAATTAGAG